ACGGGGCAGCTCTGGATCCTCCGGCATCCGGCACCGCCACCAGAACCCGCCTGCTGCCACCAACCCTTCTGCCTGCGCCCTTCTCTCTGCGCAGGCTGCCTGCCCCGCAAAACCACACAAAACTCGAAACCCCAGCCTCCTCCTTTAAAAAAAAAAAAGGCACAATGGAGTGGTGCTTTCTGCCCACCTAAGCTGAGTCAAAAGCAAAACTGGTACCAAGTGCTACATACTTCTGCTCTTCAAGACAGGCACCATGGGCAAGCCCTCCTGCCGTGCTTCAGGAGTCGCAGCGGGGGCACGAGTTTGCAGTCTCTGGATGTGATGGTCACCCAGAAAACTGACCTACTTCCCAGTTTGCAAACAACAGCTGAAGAGCTTTACTCTGTTGTTGCAGATGTTTTGTTTGGCTGGGGGTTTTTTTGGTTTATTTTGTTTAATTTTTTTTAAACCAAGTTCAGTACAGAGATAGTATTTCTGTTCAAGAACTTGAACCACTGTGAAATACGGAGTTATGTAACTCAGTCCAATTTCTTTACAGAAAATCCTGATTTTCGAATGAGACAGTAATGAAACAACAGGCACAGGAAGCACGAGTCTGAAAATAAGTTAGAAGCTAAAACCAGGAGACTTATCCAAAAGGGACTCCTGTAAGCACGGCAGGACATATAAAAATGACACATTAGTAACATCAGCATATTGAAATGCCGTATGTAGCCTATTCAAGAGCAAATGAACCTGCATTTCCTCGATAAAACAACAAAATATAAAGTTAACTGCATTGCAAAAATGTCCCTTATTACTTTAATGTACTAGTATATTGCTTAATGAAAGTTCTTAATTGTTATACAATTAATTACATACACAGAGTCCCCAATTACATTTTCCAATAAGACACTGGCTTTGGTACAGGTCTAAAGGCACTAAACCAATTTTAATATATTAAGACCAATTTCCCTTGAATACTAATTACTAGCTAATGATAAAATGAGAAAGAGGAACTTTCCAGAAGTAAGATGGTAAGAATAAAACTAAATTAGCCATGAACAGTTTGCTCCTACACATAAAAGCATTTCACATTACAAAGTGCAGGCTTTGAGTTTAAAGATAAATCTTTGTGCGAGTTAAAAAGTTCTGCACACCGCAAACAGTTTATTAGTTTGAATGCTATTTGTAAATGTTGGATAGATAGGGGATTTCTCCATACATATTTCTTAATAATGGAAAGTTTTCTGTTTCATTTAATACCCTAAAATATAAACTTTCTATTTGCTCAAAGGAAACCGGCAGCTATTCTGCTAGCAGATGTTTGGCATCATACAAATATGTATTTATAAATGAATATGAGACTATGAAGAGCACACTTACAAATAATAGCCGTTACAATAGAGTTTTTCCTGACTGGCATAGCTAAGCTAAAAGTATTTCAAATAAGAACAAAATGCAGAAAATTACTATCTCATTCTGATGTTAGGATTTTCAAGCTATTATTTTATTAACAGTGCAAACCTGTCAATACTTCTGCTCTAACGCCACGCCAAAAGATAGCTCCTTAAGCACTACAAAATCCAATTTCTTCTTGTGTATTGGGGGAACCAGGCTATGAACAATGCATGAATTATGACTGATCTTATACAGTGTATTGTCCTTGAACATCTACGCGTGCCGAGAGCAAACTGCACGGATCTGTCACAGACATCCCCGAGCAGGGACAATGGAAGATCACTTTAAATTCGTCCACATTTTGGGGGAGAAACTATAAGCAGATTTCCCCTGCATTCCTTATTTGAGTTTGGTATCCATTCAGAAAACATTCAGCAAGAGCACAGCAGAAAGGAGACAGAATTCACGTCAGCATTCACCAGATTACCGTCAGCCTTGAACAAACTGAAACACTGACTTGCTCTTGAACCCCACAGAGTCTCAGACCCTGTTTTGCCTTCGCTTTTCCACGTTGCAGGCGCCGGCTGACAAACATGAGACCCACGAGTGGGGACAAAAGGCCACCCCGGTGCTGGCATTCCAGCAGAGGAGGACTGTGGCAGCTCTGGGGCGCAGCCCGGGGTGCTCCCTGTCACGGCCAGGACAGGGGCTCCAGGTCACCTCTCAGATGGGCACCGTCGATTTGCTTATTGAGTGCCCGCCGAGATCACAAATTCAGAGTATTCTCACCTTGACAGCCCCAGGGAACCACCCTACACCTTTCCATGCCCTGTTTGGCTGAGGAGCTGGCTTCCGCGTCCCCTCGCCTAGGAGGGAAGAGGAGCAGCCGCTGCACACGGGAAAAGCATCCTCTCACCATGACAACTGACATTTATTTTGAGATAAGGCCTCTGAGCATTTGCTACTGATGCACAGTAGACCAAATGTCTCCTGCTAATCCACTAAAAACCTAAAACATACTTACTATTAAAGTAGTGGTGCAACCTGAACGTAGTCACTTGTGAGAGCTAAGAGCATCAGTAGACAGAGCTACAGGCCACAGCATGGATTCCTCCACAGATGACGAAAATATGTTAAAAATGCAGTATATAAAATACGCTTCTAATAACAGAGACTGGACAAAATAAATGCTATTTGTAATCAAAATGCGCAAAACCTATGTAAGTACGACTGGTGTGCATCTTCTCACAGATTAACAATTGATATGAAAATAACAGCCTGGATGCAGATGTTGGGGAATTCTGGCTTGTGGAAGAGTGCAACTTGATTAGTGAGGTTAAAATCGCTCAGCACTCCTGCTCCCTTCTGCCGCATCTTCCCCTCCAGTTTCTTAGAACCATTTTATGGGGAAACGAACCAGAAGCATCAAGAATATTGTGGGAGCAAGTCCCGCCCTACCTGGGAGCGCTTCCCGCGGGCTCCAGCCAGGAGGTGCCAGCCCGAGCTCGAGGCAGCAGCACCTCTGCCTGGCCCCACAGGAGCCCCTGGAATCAGGAGGTGCTTTGGGAATGCTCTGCTGTCATTCCAGCATAAAATATGAAATGCTATAGTCAAAAAACATAAATGGAAAGGTCTCATCTTTGTAAAGAGAGAAACCCCACTTCTGCTACTTGAAACAGGCTCTTACTATGATTTTTTGCAGCAGGCACTCTGAGCATGGTCTTGGCTGAGAGGCTGAACGCTACTGGTTTCCTCATTACTACAATCAACATTTTCACAGCTGATTAAAATAGAATGAAAAAACCCAACCCAAACTGAGAGCATGACTGTTGGAGAGAATGAAGGATGGACGAAAATGCTATGGAGGACAAAACCAAATCAATGTTAAATGTGGGGGTTTTTAAGTTTCATATAATTCCTTGTACAGAAATCAGGAAATAGTGTTAGGACCATTAAAACAGTAACAGAATAAAAATATCTGAGCATAGCTGGAGAGATTATTTGTCTAGCACTTTAAAAATCATCCAGCTGCCCTAGTTATATCTGTGTGGTTAATTTCTTTAAATTCTATGAGGAAAAAATCCGTGCCTCTAACGCTGTATCGATAAGGCAACAGGTATTGCAGACCAATGACTTTATCCACTAAGCAATGCCTGCAATAGAAAAGTTTCATATTTCCAGTTTTTCATGATTGGTCACAACTTTACAGAACAGAGTTTAACAGAAAAAGATTAATCATGAAGTGATAAACAGGATGCAGACTATGTACTAGAAGGTATGAAATCCATCATTTCCCTCCAGAATATTGTTTTGGCACAACTGAGAAGTGCCGCAGGAAAAAGAGACTCGTCAAAACTTACTTGCCCAGACAGTACAGCTTGTATTCCAAAATACATAACTTATGTGAGTTTAAGCAATTTACAAGAGCAAAAGTGAAAAGGGGAAACATACTGTTCTCCCGGACAAGGCAGAATTCCAAAGTGCTCTGGCTCTCCAAGGTACAGTCTAAATCTACTGGGACATTAGGTTCACTCTGCTTCTCCAGCCGATACTGAGGACCTGAAACATAAAGTAACTTGTAAAATCATCTGTTTTCTAACAAAGTGATGGCTTATCACGTTCAACTAACATGAGATAACTCAGCCTAGAAGTTGGGCAAGTAGAAGTTTCTGTTTCAAAGCTCTTTGCCAAGGGGAAGGGCCCAGCTGTGAAAAGGTGGAGGAGGAGGGTGTGCAAGGAAATCCCATCCCGCAGTCACCTTCGGCTGCCCAGCACCGTGACCTGACAGATTCCTCCTGCCCAGCATTTCCGTGTCCTTCCGACCCAGGGAGCAAGTGCTGCGAGACAGGGCTCTTGCCTGTTCTAACAAAGACCTGCTCAGACCTCAGTGTGCATCCGCGTTGCGTTATTTGGGCACCCTTCCCCTTTTACCATTAAAAATCTGTACAATCTGGTAACTAACGCTAAACAGATACCTGGAAAAATTTAAGTGATGCAAAGCACCTTTTGTGAGGTCTTGACGTAACAAAAAAACTAGAAGTGAAATAACGAAATCTATTCCCCCTTCAGCAGTACTTAAAATATTTCTGAATGCTTCCTGACTTTGAATTATGATAGTATATGATGAAATATTTAAAACATATAAGAAAATTAAGCATTTTAGCCTCAGACGGCATGCCTAAGAAATGGAATTTGTTAGCCAATTAATTCTAAATTTACTACAGCAGAATTTCAATTACGGCTTCTCATCTCGTCTCCCCAGAAGCCACGTGAAGCGCTCACGGCACCGCCGGGGCGTGTTCTGCTCCCCAAGTGGAACAGCGTTTCTCCATACAACAGAGCCCCCTTGGTCCCGGGGAGCAGAGAGGGAGCCCGGCTCTCTGCAGAGCCCGGCAGGGAAGCGGAACCGCTCCCACCCTGCCCAGCACACCCAGAACCAGCCATGGCCGAAGGGTTCAAAGGATGAACCGCACTTGAGAGGCGGCAGAGATGCCTCGTGCCAGCGCAGGCAACAGAAAGGTCAATACACACAGCACTGTTGGTTCTCCTCTCCCAGCTACTGGAAATGCAATTAAAAATTTTAAATAAATTAAGTAAACAGAGGCCTGGCTTGCTGGGCAGAAGCAAAATACACTGATCTGAAACAAATATCAAAGTGGTAAATCAATTTGTGTTTAAAACCTGGTGCAGGTTTAAAACAGAAGCAGCGACGGCAAAACGTGTGTGTTTTGTCCATTTGTGAGAACATCGCAGAGGTTCCCACACTACGCCCGGGTGCTGAACGAGCCCCAGCAACACCAAAGGCAGCCGAGCTGGGGGTTCCCGTCCCAACGTCTGCGGCACGTGGTGCCAAACCCCGACCCCAAGCGCTCCCACCCACAGTCTTTTTTAGCAGACTGCAATAACTGGCTGCTAATACAGCAAGGAAATAGAGCTACAGGCCAGGAACCAAGGCAGCCTTCCATGTGAGTAACTCCCTTAAAGCAGAACATACCAAGAAATTAATTAAAAAGTGTAAATGGATTTTTAGAGAGAGTATCTACTCTTAAATAACATATTTTAAATATCCATACACATTTACATGACCTCTACTTTATAACAGATGAAGAATGCTAGGATGATTCTGCGGAGGAGTTTTACTACCAGACTCTTCTCATGAGTTCAAATGATGTCACTGCAGCAGAAACATTAGGTAACGCAATGGTCTCCTAACAGAATACTGCTCTGGGAACCTCAGCAACATTTCAAGTGCTAATACCAACGCTGGGTTTTATGGGTTTCTGTAACCTGACGCGAACGCTCCGTGCACTGTAAAACAAACCTTTGGAACCCTGGTCTGGGAGCAGCAGCCGCAGCTCCAAGCACCTCCTGTGCCCAGCGCCCGAGCACCTGTGAGCCACGGCCAAGTGGAAGTGACCCGGGCAAAAGGCTCTGAAGACAAAGCTCATCCATGCAAACCCCTCTTCCAGATCCGAAATTCTGTCACCAGTACTCGGGGTGAGAGAAGCTGCTGCTGAGCTGAAGCAGGAGCGCTGCGGGCACAAGCGGCATGTCCGGGGAGAGCAGTGGCTCCACCTTCCAGCAAACTTTGCTGGTTCAAGATCCAGCAGGGATTTGCTTGGGTTCCCCCAGAGAGGGTGTGAGAGCCAGGACCCTTCTGCATTCGATCTCCTCCATTCTTGGGCCAGGCTACTGGCACAGCGCTGACACCACACGCTGCAAGTACCACCAGCAACAGCAATTCTTCTCTCCTGGAGCGGTTTTGGCGCAGCGACAGAGGAGCTCTGGCGGAGCAGGGCTACCTTGGGCAGAGCCAGCATCCTCCACCCCCCCCTGCTAAAATCCCCGTTTAACCCTCCACACCTTGCTTCGTGCCTACAGATGTCCACAGTACTTCTTATTTCAAGCTATTTCAAGATATCCCTTGAAACACAGGGAGGTTTGCCAGGAATTAAAATCAAACAGGGCAACGACCCCCAAGGTTACACCCCAGCCCTCCCAGGGCTGCTGCAGAGGTGCCCCAGGAAGAATCCCGCCACATAATCAAATTAAGCAGCTCTCTTAGGGAAGGCAGATGGCCATCCGCATAACAACAAACCAATTCTGTTGCCATTTAAGCTGCAAAGCCTTCAGAATGGGGTTTTGAAAGCATGACCCATCAGTTCTAATTTTTAAAACTTATCCTTTCAGTCAAGACTAGAAAAAGGCCCATTCCAACTTTTATCTTCACTACAAAGTGCTGTTATCTTGGGCTGATGTCAGGAGCTCTATCTCTCTTTCTGCTGACAAGCAGAGACGAGAGAGATAAGATTGGGAACGAATCTCACTTCTCTGAGTAAATAAATAATCAATACTCATCTAAATGTAAATGAGAAAGTATCCCCCTCTGATAACAGGGCTCTTATCAAACAGCCAATTTTCTGCAGACATTTGGCCTCAACCAAATCACCATCATTCAGCCCCAGCCTAATGGCTAAAAATCGTAACTAAATTGAACCGATCACCAGAGATCAACTAAGTTCAGCCATGGCTACCACAGGTTCAAATGTTTGGAATGCAATTTTTCCCCCATTAACTTTCAATAGCGATGAAGAATACCACGGTCAGGGGTTGAATCTGCACAATAAACAAACACTAACACTTAAAAAGAGAATGAGAGTTTAAACAAAACCCCAAACAAACCCTGTCTCCATTTCCAAACTAGTTACTAGAGTAAAATAAGGATTACAGACACTTACCTCCATATTTAATGTTTGTGGCATTGCCAAACCTAAACTAATATGACCAGTATACGCAAAAAAACTCCAAATGGCTTAAAATTGAACCTGTATTTTACAGTCCCTGACAAAACACATCGTTGCATCCTACGTATCCCTTATCTTCAGCTCCCTCTCAAGAGCTCCTGTAGTTCTCACCAAAGCCCCAGTCATGTTCTTTGTCAGCTGCTTCTCTCCCTTTAGGCCAAGCATTTGTTCAAAATACTTCGGGATTTCTGATTTCTCTAACATTGACCTCCAGAATTTATTGCACTGTGTGAGAAAAAGAATTCCCTTTTGTTTCCAAAAGCCAACCCACCACTTTTGGGGCATGTGCTTCCCATCTTAGGACCAACTGTGATAAAACCTTCAACTGTGACAAACTCCTCCCAGTTCACCGTCTCCCACACGGGCACCTCATGGGCTGCACTTGTGCCCCATCACATCTTTTCCAAACTGGAAAAGACCTTCTTTCCACAACATCTACTCATTTCACACGTCTGATCCATTTTTGCGCTTATCCATTTGTCTGTCTTTCCCCTTCCGTATGATCATTTTTGAGATGAAACACAACCATTAAGATGCGGGGACATCCTGATTTATGGACTGGCACAGTAATGTCTGTTTTGCCCTCCTTTCCCAGTTTCTGCTGTTCAGCTTGTCTCTCTGACTGCTCCTAAGCACTGAGCTGAAGAGTTCAGAGAACCACCCATGACGACTCCAGGATACTTTTCTCGACTGATGGAAGGTAATTAGAGCCCATCAGTGTATACATATAGTTACGGCTGCTTTTCACCGTGTGTATTATTTTGCGCTCATTGACACTGACTTCCCTCTCTCGTTTTATTGTCCTGTCACTCAGCATTGTGAGATACCTCTGCAGTGCTTCACAGACAGCTTTTATTTGCACTATTGCCTCTTTTGTATCAACAGCACATTTTGTCACATCAGCATTCACATCCTTTTCCATGCCCCCATCAACAGAACAATGCAGGTTCTACCAGTTCCACGGGAACTCCACCATAACCTAGTTACCGATAACGGAGGGCTGTTATTCCTATTCTTTGTTTCCTGTCTTTTAATCAATTATTCATCCATGTGAGGATCCCTCTCATCCTGTGACAGCTTAATTGCTTTACAAGCCTTTGTAAAATCTTTTTGGAAAATCTAAGCATCCTCTGAAAACACACAGCCCCTCTGCAGCTGGTCTCTGACTTCCTCAAAGGCTGCTCACCCGTTTCTGAGGCACAACCTGCCCTACAAACACGATGCCCGTTTTATTCCTCAGTATTTTGCATTTGTCCACACGTCATCTATTAATTCTGCTCCTGGCTACAACTTCCTTCTATAATTTCCCTGTTTGCTGGTAGGGAAGCCAAGGTGGTCTCTCCTCAAAGTCCTTCACCAAACCCTTGCCACCATCCACGCCCAGGGGAGCAGCAGACAGAGCAACGGACCGTACATCACATTTCACAGAGCAGCATCTTCATATCCGACCTCCACCACATCTCCCCGTAACTACTGTCTGCTCCTGCTCGTTTCTTGCCCTTCATGGATTCATTTGAAAACTCACTCTCCTGGCACGCAGCTCCTCTGACAATTCTTGACTGTTGCCTTCAGCCTCCCCGTGCCGGAGCCGCCGCACAAAGGGCGTGTGCTTCCTCGCCTTTCAGCAAAGCAGGAAAACCTGCCTGGGTTTAGAGCAGGTGAAGCCTGTCCCGGCTCCGCCAGGAGCTCCGAGGCACCTGAACGTCTGTGGCGGCAAAGGACGCGACAGTTTGCCCCAGACCAGCCACAGAAGTT